AAGACAACGTGTCTATTCTTTGTCAACTTCATTCAAGCAAAGACTTATACATGACATGTTTGACTAATCAGAATCGGAACACATTTTAAAACAAAAGGAGATACCTTGTGTTAGTTGTGTATGTACGTGATGTTGGTGTGATACGCCGAGCGCACATACTCTCAAAAGTCTCACGTGCACGATGCACATCACCTTTTCTTCCATAGTATTTCACCATCAAACTGAACTCTTTTCTAGAAGGCTTCCCATAAAACAGAAGCATTGAATAAGCAAGACATTTTAAACCTTTTAGCATATTCTCTTTTACACAACAAATAATCGATTAACATAAAACCAGTATAGCTAAATTTAGATTTAACAAATAGACAATACATATTACAAGTCCCAGCTCCTTCGAAAGTTCAGAATATATAGGTAAAAGAGTTTCTCTGAATTGATTTCAGCACTCAAATTCTTGCTCAAAGTGAATTAATACGATGGTAAAACTCAAACAATATGAATTTCAATAGAAGGCGGCATTCATAATTTAATAGAAGGAGCAAAAGCAAACTATTTAATATAACTCTCACCTTAAGAAGATCATTCATCGTGAAGAAAACAAGAGACTAAGTTTTGGTTTCGATTTACACCAATAACTAAAAAGAACCACGCCTTGGGATGGTGAGAAGGTGAGAAGGCGAGAAGGAGATGTGGGATTTTTTGCTTCTAAGAGAAGAAGGCAGTTGGAACTGAGTGAAGGTAAAATACGAGTCGAAGTAGAGAAGAAACGGAGTATAGATGGAAGTAAACAAGCGTGACACGGCCGTGACTATTGACAACGGCGACGAGGAGAAGGTGAGATGCAGAGGACTCCGATCCGTGGAGAGTAGATTGCGGGGGAAAGAGAGAGATCCAACGGATGATGACGAAGAGAGAGAGCACCGTGAGGAGGAGGGAGAGAGATAGTGGAAACAGAGGGAGCCAAACTAATTTTTTTTTTCTCCGGCGGCTGAAGCTCTCTCTCAGAGAAAGGAGAATGAATTATAATTTTTTTTATTTATTATAAATTAGGTTTAGTGTTTTTTTTCACCAAAAATTAAACATAATGGCATTTCTGTAATACAAAAAAAAACATGTGGGTAATTGTCTTTTTACATTAATTTTGGGCTACTTTGGTCGGTCCAAATTTGTATGGGCCAATTTGGTTCGGATCCACTATTTATGTGCTAGTTTAATCTATTATCTCAATAAACCATTAGTTAACAAAAGAAAATGAAAGAAATCATTATTGAAGTTTTGGAGGGTAGAGATATCAGAAATGATAATGATATCAAAGATTGTCGGTTTAAGTAAAAATATACTACATCTAGAAGGAAAACAAATTGGGTTGAAAAGCACCAAAACCCCTGAAAGCTGCAAAATGTTTGGTGACATGTTAGGGACACTACGTACTCATTACCCCAATGGGCCAATGGTATATGCCCTTCAAGTCTTCGCCATTTGGATTTACATTCTTTACGAGATCGATGACGACCACAAAATAAGCAAATAAGAAAAGTATAGGGTTGCGTAAAATTATTATATGGTTATACGTGTTTGTCAATCGAAATATTCTCATAGCGACTTCAATTTCTACTTTATTATCATCATATCGGTATACGTGATTGAGCAACCGATCATATAGTTTGTTTTTCCTAGTTTAATTTTATGTAAATTTCTGATCACCTTATTATATGAAAATCGAAAGCAACTAATGAAATAGATGACAAAATGTGTATCCGTCTTCGACTCTTCTTGGTACGTAGAACGTAGTCTAAGATAACATATAGAGTAAGTACGTTGAAGAGAATTAGGAAGGACAAAAGAACTAATCCATTGGACACGTCACACACTTATGCTTTTAGTTTACAACATTAGAAAGACTAATGAATCTGGCGTATCCCAAACGCATTGAACTCCTTTATATTACCATTCCTAAAATAGTAAAAGTTACGGCAGATTCATTTAACCATATACTTACTATTTATCTCAAGAAAAATTTATAACTCTTTCTAGTTCCTTCCAAGTATTGAAACATAAAGTTTTGCAAGGAAATAATTTTATAGAAATATAGAACCATCGATCCATAAGTTCCCTACTAGCTTACCTTTGATTGGTAAATCCCAATTACGTGAATGTGTAATCGAATCTAGCAACTAGCAAAAGGATTCATATTTCCCATTTATATAATATTTGTTGTAATTTTTTGGTTTCCACTATACGTTTCTCGAGACGGCTGAGTGCATTTAAAAAGCTCCTCATCGTGTTATATTAGTGGTAAGCAAGTAGGGACGAATTGGTACTGATGAATCTAATAAGGCCTAAAATGCTTTCATGTTAACTAAACTGAGAGGTAGAGGAAGGATCTTAATATTACATGTTTAACAAAAATAAATCTAAAGCTTAGATTATCTTCGTCGCACGCTTTCCTTGGTACAGTTAAATAATACAGTATTATTATAATAAGCTAATCATCATCATATATGAAACCCAAATGACAACTATATCCTAAAACCAAAAATTATTTATTTAGTTCTAGAATATCCAATTTGTATTTGTTAGTCTTTGAATAAACCTTTTTGTGTGTGTGTGTGCAAAAGTCTTTGAATAAACAAATGTTATAAAATTGTAGAAATATAAAATGTTGATGCGAAGGGCGTGTTTAACGGGACTTGTGAACCAGAAGAGAAGACAAGACTCAAAACTTCTCTCAAACTGTTCAAATAAAAACTCGATTTTTATTTTTTTGTTGCTGTGATCTTTCAAAGTAGAATCATCAACAAACCATGGCAATGTTTGATCTTTCGTCGAAATCGTTCGATACCCATTTAAATTTCCCCAGAACTTTCGATGATCATCCAGATTCCGGCGTCTGTTCGCCTCCTCTGTGGAGAACTAGTCCACCCAATAGTCCTCCTGCTCGCCGGCACAACAACGATTACCAGAATCTCTCTCCTGTTTCCAAGGCTCAAGTCATCGCTCGTGGTCAACGTGAGCTTATGGACATGGTTAGTAAGATGCCCGAGTCGTGTTACGAGCTTTCCTTGAAGGATCTCGTTGAGGTTAACACGGAGGAAGACAAGGAGGGGAAGGTGTTCGATGATATGCCTCAGAGAATCATAAGGCCGAGCAAAGTTGTGAGGAAGACGAAGAGTGATAGATGGATCGATCCTGTTCGAAACGGGGATGTGAAAAACAGTGGGTTTCTTCTGAAAATGGTGTTCCCTGTTAGCTTGGGTGCTAAGAAAAAGACGAAGAAGAAAGATGATGATGATTCCTCTGTGACAAGTAAAGGCTCTCGGATTTCTCCAAGACCTTCGATCTCTGATTCGTCGACGAAACCAGAGGATAAAGATTGGTGGAAGAACGGATTGTCGGAATCGCGTAGGAGTCAAAGCTGTGTCTCAAGGATCAACAGTGGGAGCTCAAAGAGCAGTGGTGGTAGTAGCAGTAGAAGCAACAGCGATCGAAGTCGAAACAGTCTAAGGTATGCATATACTGTGGGATATTAGAGGTTTTTTTTTTAATAGCTTTGTTCATATAGAAAGTTCAGATGTTTGATTTTTTGATACAGAAATAAAACTCATATACGATTATTTAGCGGTAAGTTGAATTTGATGAAATAAGCAGCTTCTTTAAGAATTCCTAGACGTATTTCGTATCTAGTTCTTGGATTTGCCTTTTGTGAACTTTGATCTTCTTGATAAGTTCCTAGGGTCTGAACTGTGTGTGATACTTATCTCTCTCCATCATGTGAATGGTGTAACGAGTTTTTGGAATTGGTGGTTTTTTTGTTGGTGGGTTTGAAGTTAATGGTCATGGAAAGGGTCAATTTAGTTGCGTTGGCTGCACAAGATTTTGACCTCAAGTTTTGGACTTGTTTTTTCAAAGATTATGTCTGAGAATGCTAATCCTGTGCTGTAGCTAGAATGCTAGATTCATGCTTAACTCTCTTTCTCTCTATCTCTTTGTTTCCTGATCCGTAACAGAGTCTCTTGTGCAATCTCTACAACTTTTGGTATTCTAAATGTTTGAATTTTGGGATTTCTTAATACAGAGATGAAAACAGGGGATGCTTATCTTTCCTATGGAATGTACATGTACGAGATTTAAAATGATAAGTTGTTCAATGGTTATACATTTCTTTCGCTAAGAAGACTAACCGGTTCATATGACCTCAAGCCACACATTAAGTGGAGTCCACAAATCCGTGGACGAATGAATCGGGGAATGATGAAGATGAAACCAGAGGATATGAACATCTTCATCAATGTACCACAAAGATTCTATATTTTCCTTTACTTGTAGTTATCCTATATTTCTGAGCGTTTTTTGTTTGTTTGTAAGTCTATGCAATGTACGTATTGAGTTTCTGATAATGTTATGTAGATAGAGATTCTTCAGCTTTTGCTAACATAAAAAACCATTAAAAATGTACCAATGCTCTCTCCTCAATAAATATAAAAAAATTATGTATTTGGGATCTTAATGTTCTTGACTCCCCACTTGAGTAATCTTTGCCTTCACTGCAAGTTCAAGAAGATTGAGTATCTCTTCTTTTTCTGGCGAGGTTGATGATAGAGTTTGGTCTTCATCATGGATGTGTGAAATTCTCTTTTTGAAGTCACCTTCTCGTTTAGACGCGTTTTCTTTTGCGTTTAGAAAACGCTCTTATTTTATTTAAAGCAGAGAGACAAGTCAACGACGAAACGAAAGCGACCCCGTTCCTCTCGTCACCGGTTAATGATTTTGCCGTGATAGACATAGACCGCACTGCGACTAATAAGTTTTATTTTATTCTGTAATCCTTCCCTAATGATAGTTTAATATTTTAATTACGACACAAATATTATTTTAGTAGACGAGGGTGACTTAGTCTTTAAAATCACCGGCAGTGACATTAGCAAAAGTGAAACGAAACCCAAAGCACAAGTTTGGAACTTTAATTAGGACTAGAAGCAGAAAAGTCGCAGTTGATTCTAGGACGGCGAGAGGCTGACTTGACCAGACACGATCACAAATAAAATTCCTTACCGTGTTTGACAGTTTTGCTTCGAAAACCACTTCAAATTGTTTCGTATTCTCTGAATCTTCAGACTATACAAATCCCTCGCTTGCTCTTATTTTGGTTCTTCTTGACAAGGTAAAAAAGGTTTTTGCTTTTGGTTCGAATCTCACAAGTCTTGTTTACTTGTCTTTACTCTTCGAATTTCCTTCCTTGCTATTAGCTGTTTTGCTTTTTAGATTCTGCGTAATCACCATCATTGTAAAAAGACTAATCCTTGTGAGCTCAATTAAAAATTTGTTCATATCTGGCTTTAATAGCTCGTGGGCTGTAATCTATTTTGCCATTTGATTTCGTTTTACTATTGGCTTACTTGTACCTTACAATTTTTTTCTTTTGTGATCTGTTTATGAGTTTTGGAAAAGACTGCAACATTTTCTCTTACTTGTTCTGTTGCAATCGCCAGTGTGATATTTCTAATAATGTGCTTTAGTGTCTAAGCTTTGAAAAGTCTTTGAATTTTGCTTGTTAATTCAGCCCTTTGGTGATTATGGTGTCTCTTCCCTTTTGTGCTTATAGGATAAATTTGGAACTGTGGCATTTGATTGATAAGAGTTGTTAAGATGGCAAATGATGCGGCTGCATGTGCCGAAAGGGCTACAAATGATATGCTGATTGGTCCAGATTGGGCTATTAACATCGAATTGTGTGATATTATCAACATGGATCCTAGGTAAAATACTTCATACATCCGTTTCTCTAGTTCAGTTTTTCTTTTTGTGTCTGGTAATGAATAAGTTGGTATTGTTTGATTCCTTAGTCAAGCAAAAGAAGCTGTGAAGGTGCTCAAGAAACGGTTAGGAAGTAAAAACTCTAAAGTCCAGATTCTTGCACTTTATGTGAGTATTTGTTTCTCCATTCTTGGATTCAATGCTTTAGTTTGGTGTCATGTTTTTGTTGGCCTCATTTTTCGGATGATGCTCGGGGTTTTGGTACAGGCATTGGAAACTTTAAGTAAGAATTGTGGCGAAAATGTGTACCAGCTTATCATTGATCGTGATATTTTGATCGACATGGTCAAAATCGTGAAGAAAAAGGTTTTGCTATATATCTCACCTCACCTGTCTCTAATAATTCAATTTATCCATTGGTATGCATCTCTGGAAACTTCTCTGACCTTGTAAATTTTTGATCATAACTTCGCAGCCGGACCTGAATGTGAGGGAAAAGATACTAAGTTTGTTAGACACATGGCAAGAAGCTTTTGGCGGTCGCGGAGGTCGATACCCACAATACTACAATGCGTATAATGAACTCAGGGTATGCTAACATGAGATGAGTCTTTCTATTCATCATTAGACAATATATATGTTTTCATATGTTTTTGACAATCAGTTTTACGTTTTGATAACTTTAGTCAGCTGGAATTGAGTTTCCACCTCGAACGGAAAGCAGTCTATCGTTCTTTACTCCACCTCAGACTCAGCCCATCGCATACGATGCTCCATCAGATGAAGATGCTGCTATTCAAGCGTCGTTGCAAGGAGATGATGCTTCTAGCCTAAGGTACTCTCTTCTAGTAGAACAGATCGTGCTGTTTGTCTATTGGGTGGGTTTTGTTTTGCTGGAGCCTTATAGTTTGTTGATAATTTGAGTTTCTTTTAGCCTGGAAGAGATTCAAAGCGCTGAGGCATCAGTTGATGTCTTGATGGACATGCTTGGAGTACTTGATCCCGGGAACCCCGAGGTAGGAATTTGATTACTCTAATGCATGAAAAGAGAAACTGCTGGTTTTCTTTGAAGTAATGGATGTATTGTTGCAGAGCTTAAAAGAAGAACTTATTGTTGACTTAGTTGAGCAATGTCGTACTTACCAAAGCCGTGTAATGACTCTTGTGAACACTACAACGTAAGCTTCTCTTCCTTCCTTCCTTCCTTCCTTCCTTCATCTGCTACTGTTTCCTCCCATCAGATGGGTTTTGCTAAAGGTAAAAGTACCTTCGTTTTTTTTTGTTCTTCAGAGAAGAGGAACTTCTGTGTCAGGGATTGGCATTAAACGATAATCTGCAGCGTGTTCTTCAGCGTCACGATGATATCGCAAAGGCCTGCTCGTTTCCTCCAAACGGAATGAATACTACAGCCCCTCCTCCAGTTCAGAATGTCAACATCAATCATGATGATGATAATGAATCAGATGATGATTTTGCTCTGCTTGCTCACAGGTACTTATTATGATGGATCCTATTTTGAAAGGCTATGGTCTGTTGACATCTTGGAAACTGATATTTTAACAATTTTTGAATTCAATCTCTAAAGGTCTAAAAGAGATTTCAGCCCGATTCTTCCTCCTCCACCACCGCCTGCAATGAGACCAGTACATGGTAGTGATTCGGGTATGGTGGATTTCCTTAGTGGCGATGTCTATAAACCTCAAAGTTCCTCACACGGAGGAAAGAAGCCTTCTCCTCCTCATCATGCTTCTTCTTCTCCTGTTTTCGATGATCCAAGTCCGAAAAGCAAATCCTCTGAGCTATTGCCTCCTCCGGCTCCTTGGGATGATGAGTTAATTAGGAATCTCCCACCTCCGCCAGCAAGGCACAACCAGAGGCAGCAGTTCTTTGAACATCACCACTCGAGTAGCGGCTCTGATTCCTCTTACGAGGGTCTTGTTGGACAGACCCGGAACCTTTCTTTGACTGGCACCGCAGGTAGTGAGCCAAAGAAAGAAGAGAAACCAGAGGATATGCTTTTTAAAGACCTGGTTGAGTTCGCCAAAACCAGGTCCTCCAAGTCCAGCAATAGGTCGCTTTGAGTCCTTTTGCTTGTGGCTTTTACCATTCTTTTTTCATTTCTTTGCATGTTTTGGTTTTCCTGATGATATAAGAGTGTTGTGCCTTATTGTCAAATAATGTGCGAATTTTAGAGATAGTATCCAAAAAAATCCATCAACAGTAACAACAACATACATTTTACTACTCTAGTCACTCCACGGACCCATCGATTGGGTCGAGGGGAGAAAATACCTAGGCTAAACCAGCCTAAACCTTAAATTAAAGATGAGCTGGTAACACTAGTCCAAGGAATTATTGGGTTGCAAGAATAAAGATGTAAACAAGAACGAAGTGTCTAGCAAGTAATAGAAGAAATAGTCTCAAAGGTGTAGGGTTGTTATAATGAATTCAGAGAGAACTAACAATAGGAAATTACCATATATCCTCCCTTGTTTATAGGAATCGATTCCCACTTTCCATCTTTCCACGTTTTCTAGGAACCATTGATTACAACTTTTCTATTTGAAGACCTAAAAAATAAAGCAGACATATATGATTTGCTACAAATGAAAGCAAATTCATCTTGATTGACCAGCTAGCTAACTAAATTTCATTAGACATGGAGATCATTCCATTGATGTTCATTATACTCTTGTCTTCATTTCGGGTCCCTGTTAAAGTAGCCGGCAAGGGTGCGTCCCATGGGGGAGGAGGTGGCTTTGTTGGTAGTGGCAGCGGCTCCATTGGTATTGGCAAGGGCTATAGGGGTGGGAATATTGGTACCGGGGGCAGCATTAGGGATGGGAGTAGTGTTGGCACCGGTTATAGGGGTGGGGGTTCAAACGGCAAGCCAGGTGGTGGCGGAGACCCCGGTGCGGCAATTGTTGTCTTTCCCAAGAAGCCCGAGGAACCGAAGAAAAAGGCGCCGCCGCCATTGCCACAAGAATGCAAACCGGAGGTTAGAGATTGCATCAATGCGCATATGTACGGAGGCGCAGGTGCACCTGAACGCGGTGCACAATGTTGTGCGACACTTAGGAAATCAGTACCATGTGTGTGTAAATTCCTTAGGTCCCATGATCCTAAGCTAAGCAAAGGTGCAAATGATGTACTTCGGGGTTGTCATTACAATAGAACCAAATGTTCAAAGGTGCCAATGCCTCAAGTATGCAAACCTGAAGTTAGAAATTGCATCAATTCACATATATACGGAGGCCTAGGGAAACCTCAACGCGACGGGGCATGTTGTGAGAAATTTAAATACTCGAAAAAATGTGTTTGTACATTCGTTAAGTCTACGGATTCTCATCTAAGCAAACAGGCTAAAGGTGTTATCCAAGGTTGTCGTTTTACTAGAGCCAATTGTCCATAGATCTAGCTAGGGATTAATGTGTATATAACTTAATTTAAAGAAAATACTATAAATATATATATAGCAAACATATTGTGGAGGACTTTGAAGCCTTCTTTCAGATATTGTGGAAGACAGGCTAATCTTGGTGCAAATCTTTTTTTTTTGCCAAGACAGCCTCCTCCTTTCCTACTTACTTGGCAATATGAGATTGTAGTATTTTTTTTCTTGACTATGTTCAGTGATTGATAAGGAGAAACCCAATGGTTATTCTTAGCACTAATATAAAGTGGAATCATCAATATAATCCATCTTTGCATATTGCAATATAAGCATCAAACATAATTGTTAATTCTTTTGTTGTCGTAATATTTAACAAAACAGACATGTGTTGTGTTGATGATCGATTAATTCGATCGTTAGTTAAAGTCTGACCAACAATATCAATAGGATCGGATTGCAAGCTGATATTGTAACCGATTTAAATGTAAAAAGCTCAAAGACATTTACTATATATATTTTAGAAAAGAGAAAAGTCGATGACAAAAAAAAGAGAAAAAAAAGAAAAGAGAAAAGTCAAAGCTAAATTAATTAATCGTACATATCCCATGTGAATTATTAATCTCTTTGGCTTGATAAATAGATTTGACTTTTAATTGTAATTGAGAAAAAAGAAAAGAAAAAAGAGAGTTCAATTTGATAAATCAAAACCTTACAAATTGTAAACAAAGAAGTCATCAAATCGTAAATTTTCACAGCTTATGGCTATGAATCTCTAATTTATGAGACTTTGATGCTTTTTTGACAATGGGAAAGAGAAAATAATGCTGATAAACGAGGTAAAAAAAAACTCCTTCATGATATATAGAAGCTAGCAAATTTTCTTCAACTATTATATGAGAAAATAAAAGAGAGGCTTCGTCTTCATAACACCACAAGACCGGGCAAAGAAGTCACTCAAGAGAAAACAAAACACGAAGAAAAATCTAAAGCTTTGATTGTTTGTTGGTTTCAATATGTCTTTATCGTAAACAATACGTAAGTTTCTTTTTGTGCAGATAAGTTTGTAAAAAGATTGTTGATTGTAAACATTTTGTTTGCGTTTAGCGTTTATATAAACTTTTCGATATATATATATATAAACAAATTATTAAAAAAGATGGAATTTGTTTTACTTTTATTTTGTTCACAAAACTTAAATACATAAATTGACAGTATTTTAAACATAACAAGCAAAAATGGCAAACAAATTAGATATTTGCTTCCCCTCTCGTGTACACGCAGTAATATAATACGATTCTGTAAGGAAATGTCAAGTATATCATTAAAATCTACTTTCGACCCATATGATAAGTTGAAACAAAGGTCTATAAATACTGACTTATACCAAAGTTCACATGAATCATCATCACTTTTCAAGTGTTGTAAAACTAAAAGAATAGAGAAAATGGCTTCATCGAAGCTATTTGTGATTATGATTTTCTCATTCATGGCGTTGTTCATAGTATCCCATGCTAAATCCTTTTCTCCAGGTACATTAACTAAAATTTACGTAAATATATAAATTATCCTAAATTGCACATAATTAAAAATATTTCAGCGCTCTTCGTATAATTATTATATTAGAATTACAGTTTTATATGTCACTATTCTGTATATCGATATACAGTACTATTTTAATTTAATATAGTAATGAACGTTCCACCCATTGAAATATGAATTATAATGGTTCCAAAGAGGTTAATGCTCCACAATGTATTTAGGTCGGAAGCTATTTCAGTACGCTCCAACTCCGGAGTTTCCACCGTCCTACGAGCCTTCGTCTCCTGAGCTCCCTCCGGCTTACTCTCCTACTCCGTCGTACAATCCTACACCAGAGCTCTCTCCGTCGTACACGCCAACTCCGGAACTCCCGCCATCGTACAATCCTACACCAAAGATTCGGCCGCCGTACGTATACGTTTCTGCTCCTGCCCCCGCGCCTTATTGATCCAAAATATTGCGGTCTATGAGAGTTTTAATTTGGTCACAATATCACACGTAAAATAAAGAAGCATTATTTCTTTTACTTATCAAATAGAATAAGTTTTTAAATCTATATTGATCACAAATTTGTTAGAGAATAAAAAGATTGCACGATGATGTTTACAGTGCTTTCTGATTTTTGTTTTAAGATATTTATGATATACACCATTATTAATAGTAAGCTCTTAGCCTTAAATTTTCTTAAGAAAATATCTTATTTTTATAAGTTTATAATTTGCTCCAATACTGTAGAAACTGAAACTTAACTAAATTCTAATACGTACGTAACGTCTAATGCAAACCGAGCCAAATAATTGACGTAAAAAAAAAAAAAAAAACCGAGCCAATGATTAATATTTGTATCACCACTTGATATTGTTTTTTTCATTTTTGCGTACGTACCTAACTATACTTTGAATTATTACAAAACTCACCAGTCAATCAGTATTGCAATATTTATGGTTTTTGGACATGATCTAACTCCATTAATGGCTTTGATAGCTTATCTTCCGTAACGTATACGGAAAACACTAAATTCGACGTAGATTTCATGAAAGGAAAGTATTTGGTCTTGATAAAGTAAAAAATTATGAAGAAAAAAAATTCCATTGTATTAGGTTTATGACCAAACCATGTTGTGTCAGTTTTTCTTGCGTAGACAAGTCTGAGCCTCCGACGAGGAACCATAGATTATCACCAAGGACTGAAGGGTAGTATTGTAATTAAAAATTGTGTATCATCAACCCACATATTCCTATTTAATAATACATAGTCTATAAATACTATTCACCTGCCCCCAAGTTCACATCACCCCTTGTTTTCCAAGAAGTGTAAGAAACACATAAAAAGAGAGATTTATTCAAAGGCTATAATTAAGATGCCAACAAGTTCATCGAAGCTGCTCGTTGTGCTGATGATTTTCTCATTCTTGGCCGCGCTTTTCATGATCTCACATGCTCAACCAGGTACGTTTCCATATATATATAACAATGTATATCATACAGATAATATGCAATCTCAGGTGTTATTATATATTTTACAGCACCGTACGCATCAATAGTAATATTATTAATATGATTAGGATTTGTGTTGCAGGTAACGCGTACGACAATAGACGACCGTACACTCCTGTTCCTGCAAAATGTTTTAAACCACCTTATAAATGCCGTCCATGAGATCAGTTTCAATCTGATCACATGAATGAAATTACAATCAAATAAATATTTTAAGGGCGATGTAGGCGTGTATCTTCATATATATTGAGAATAAAGAGCTTGTGAGATCCATGTTATAATATGTTGCAGTTTGTGTTTTGTAATGTATGGGTTAAGGTGGTTTATGGGTGTATCTTCAGGAAAGAAGAAAAAAAAGAAAAAAATATTTCCATTAGTAACATCTATTAAAAATAAAATAAAAAAAGAATTAAGAACGATTTGTAATCACCATTGGAAATTCAGATAGATCCTCTAATCAATTCTTCTTATAAACTTATGCGGAGGAAAACAAAAGCAGAAAGAAAAAAATCTAAGCATAGATGAGTTTGATAGCTACTAGTAGGGAGTGACAAAACATTTTACATTTTTGTCTGATATTTATTATAATTTGTGCCGTGCTGTGTCCATATTGATTAATCACTAAATTGTGTTTCCAGATAAATATCTAAAATGAATGGCCAACACACAAGAAAAATAACCCTTTAAAAGGGAAAAAAAGCAGCCATTCAAAAGAAAATTATTTAATCCTTTTAAATAGTTATAGCATATTTTGAATAAATAAAACACTAATATTATTTAGATTTCATGTGAAAAGAAGTACGTAGATTATCTTTACAATTTCTCACAAAACTAATTATGTGCTTGTAAATAGAAAAAGACATCACAAAGTCTGAATAGTCATGTGGATATGGACAGCCACGTTGAGAAAATTAAATAACTTGTCCATTGTTTGCTTGAAGAAAGTATAAACTAGCTACGGACAAGATCTTTTCATTTTTCTTTTGTATACAGTTTATAGTTTTGTTTCTTCCTTGTTTATCTTGCTTTTCTGTTTTTTTTTTTGGTATTCTATAATTTTGAGCTATTTTGAATGATAGTGGACAAAAAAAAAAAAAAAGGTTTAGGGTTTAATCACATTTTGTAAGTTTCTCTTGAGTAGACAATGGTCTGGGCCTATGAGGATGACCCTTTAACGATCGGCTAGGACTATATTAATACCGATCTCCCAAGTTCACATGACTCGGTCCTTTCCAAAGTCTTGTAAGAAATTAAATTAAGAGAGAGATAAGTAATTAATTAATGGCTAAGATGCCAAGAAGTTCATCGAAGCTCCTTGCGATGATGCTTTTCTCATTCTTGGCGCTTTTCATAATCTCCCATGCTGATCATCAAGTTGTTTTCCCTGGTATGTTTCCACGCATAACATGATAAATCATCATATATACAATTACGAAATTGTAATTACAGCACTGAGCTATATGCATGTGTATCATTATATATTTTGTATCAATGGAATTAGTAATTAAGGACTTGTGAATTGCAGATACGCCGTCTAATTCGTACGCTCCACCTATCTACGCTCCTGTTCCTGATGAATGTTTCAACCCACCTTATCATTGCAGTCCGCCGGGAGAGTCTCTACTTGGTCACATGAACTATAATCAAAATAATTGATTATGAGGTGATATATGCGTATCTTCTTCGTATGTTTTTTCACCATTTACTGGGAAATGAAAACTTTATGAGATCCGTGGTATAATATGTTGCAGTTTGCAATGTCACCATTATGATTTGCTCTGTTTAATGCACCAAAGTTACCAATCAAATAAATATGTTTAAGAGAAAATTCACTAGATTGACACAAATTTGGCTAAACATAACTCAGTTGACATACTATAGTATCTCATTAGTAGATTGACACAACATTTAGGTAGAAAGACCAAAAACTCAAATTGGTGTTTTTGGTTCCTACAAGCATACTACTCTCTGAAGCTTTAATGTTGGTCTTCTCTTTTGTGCGTACAACCTTAGCAAAGTTGTTTTACACCCGTTGCTTAGTTTGTGGAGAAGTATTAATGTCCACAAGAAAGATAAAAATTCTTAGCAAGATAAGATTCATATAGGCATGTAATGATAATTTTGATTGTAACCTTGAGAGTCGTCTCAAAACAACTTAAGACTCATTTTCACCCTTGTGACACACAATAGAGCTCTTAAAGAGCTATTCAATTTACAATCTACATTATCGCCTTCAGTAAGCTCTACAAGAAACTAGAATAAGCTTGCTTTGGATTTACTTAAAATCCTAAACCTTATCTTTTGTATTCAGTATACGGAACTCTTAAGGTCTATGTACATAAATTTCATGATAGAAAGTTCTTGGTCCTAGTCAAGTCTTCTTAGGACAAGGACGCATGCTCAAGAGTCAATACCGGGCAAAGAAAGTTATGACTTATGCGAACGAAAACAAAAGCAGAAAAATCTAAGCCAGAGAGGTTGATAGCGCTAGTATAGGGAGTGTGACAAAGTCACAAATCATGTTTGTGTGTGATATCATAATAAGTAACTAATTGAAATTGTTTATTGAAAGAATAAATCGAATATATTCAAGTTTGATGCTCCGGATACAGAGGTTTGATAACAGCAGTGCTATGTTCACTGTAGTAATGAAATGCATGTGGTTCCAAATAAATCGTCTAAAATGAAATGAAAGGCAAACACACAAGAAAAATAACCCTTTAAAAGATACTTATTACGTTCAAGAAAAAAAATTATTTAAATTTCATGCAAAAATAAAAGAGTTAGATTATATCTACAAAAATCTGATAAAATTAAGTGACGGTAAATATACTTCAAAGACGCCACAAAGTCTACCTAGTCTTGTGGATATGGACAACCATATGAACCCGGAAACGTATAGAAGAAATTATGGACAAAAACTATTCTTTCTTTCATCGAATTAAGTTTATAAATACCAATCACCCAAGTTCACATGACTTAGCCCTTTCCAAGTCTTTCTTAGATAGAGTTTTGTATAGTGGCAAAGATGTCAAGTTCATCGAAGCTCCTTGTGATGATGCTTTTCTCATTCTTGGCGTTTTTCGTATCCTCCCATGCTCGAGTTATTTTCTCTGGTATGTTTCTGTGCATAATAACATGCATGACATATCATATTATGAGATATATATATAATTATTTCGTATCAGTAAGATTTAATAAGGCCGCTTGGGCTGCAGATACACCGTTTATTCCGTACTATTCACCTATGTACGCTCCTGTTCCTGAGGATTGTTTCAAGCCACCTTATCATTGCCGCTCTCGACGAGAGTTTGAATCTGGTCACCTAGATCTATACCAGGGAAACTAGTTATGTTTCGAAATCTGATGAAGGCGTCCATCGAATTGGGATTATCTGTATACACTTTTAACTTTGTTAATTATATATACACCATAAACTATTATCATATTAAATTAATTACGGTGATATATATATCTATGGGCAATTGAGTATTTTATATTTTCATCATTTGCTGGGAAATGAAAAGTTTATGAGATCCGTGTTATATAATATGATGCAGTTTGTTGAAATATACGATAAGTTGTAGATATACATATCTCACTTTTTACTTTTTAGGATTAATAACACTATATACAGATAAAGTGATATCTCTGTTTAAAGATATGTATTAGAAGAAAATTTAGCCGCGAAAGCCCATTGATGTCAAGGCCCGTCAAGTGTTGCCTCGAGCTCCCCCTTATTGTCAGCTTTATTTGAGCGATGTTAAAAGTTTGTAACTAAGTATAGTAGACCGTTATAATATCCAACTTAACTGACGTAAACAACAATGAAACATTGAAACGTCTCTTCGATTAACGTTTATTTTGATGGCTAGTAAAAAATCAAACGTATAAATAGAGCGTCATAAATTAAATGTTATTAGTTTTCATTTTTGTTGTTGTTGTGAATAGAGTAAATTATTTCTTTTTTTTTGTTAATTTTAGTTGAGAGTATAAGAGCATAAGCATTATGATGAGGGATCGTAAACTGATTTATATCTTCTAGTGTATATGAAATTTTACATGAGTTCATGAAAAATCTGTCGGGGCTTTTCGAAATTAAAAGTTTTTCCTGTTGATTTGGAAATTTCCGAAGGGCCTACTGAGCAACCATATGACATAAATGCGTTTATAAGAACAAGAAGAAGAAGAAGAAAAATTTGACAATAATAAATGCGAGACCCAATAAGTAAAAGTAGGACTACCTGAATCTATCCAACAATATTTAATACAGCATGTCTTGTCATATGTATTGTATTATGTCATCAGCTCTGTCGGCAAACCAAGGTCCACTTTGATCTTTATTTTTTCTTTTTGTTTTAGTGATCAGGAGCTTTGATTCTATTTATTATAATGCTTTGCAACTTTATTTCAATTTGTTTGTATCCAATATGAACGCCAAACCTTATAGCATATATACATTATCCCACTCACTTTTATCAATTGTAAAATAAAGATTTATATATTCATATGAGTATATATATATGAACCTCGACATGATATAAATACTCTTATCTCGATAATGTAATGTAAAAGGGCAAGTAGATATGTATGTATAAGGATGTTTTTGTCGGCGAAATTGAGCGTATCTCTTGGTCGCTTATTTAATAGCCGAGTTTCACGTTAGCCGCAAGGATTGATTGAATCAAGTCATGAAACTATCAACTCTCTGTAGTAGTATACATATATAGCTTTCGAAACTAATTAATTTATATCTTTAACCTAAATCGTGTTAAGTAAATATTACATTGTTATTTATTATGCCAGTAGATATATACGAACGTGAGACGTGGAGAGGTAAGATCGTAGAAAAATCCATGCATTGCCTATGTAAAATCTATAACTTGATAGCATAGAAGTACTATAGCTCTAATTCGCTAAAATCTAATTGAATTATTTAATTTGGTAACTAATAGCTTGTTATAGACAGTACATGATTTTAATTTCAATGCATGTTCCCAAAAGAAAATTGGGATGTAAACAAAAGAAGATCAGAGTATACTATGGAGATGAAAACAGAAGACAAGACCGAGGCTGTAGGGCTCACGTAGTAGTAATAACTAATAAGAGTATAATTTCTCATTTTTTGCAAGTTATAATTTTTTTCAAACTTGGAGTGGTACCCACGCCACCTATCTTTCCTATTATAGTATTTATTATTTCTAATCCACTTTCCCCCTTCTCCCCCTATATGTTTTCCTACCTTTTCCTTTTTGATCTTTTCTTACTTTATATTTTCATTTTCCTCACAACTCATTTAATTGATTTTTTATTTGTTTTTCAACTCTAATGATAACATTTAAACTTGTAAAACTTGGTAGTTTATTAGATAGTGGCACGAAAAATATTTATGCAAATTTCATACCTATGATAAATTCTATTGGTCTTGCGGTTAATCAACAAACCATATATATGATGATATTTGTTTTGTTGTTGTTGGTTCATCGATAATAACTTTTGCGTATATATCACATGTTGTTTTGCGATTGCTGCTTTTTTCCCCCCGCAACATTGATAAATTGCTAATTTGAATTTACAATATTTACATTTTTAACGTTAGTTTAACTATCAAAAACTTGTCGATGGATGTAAAATAATGGACATTAAACGAACGACTATTGTAAAGTAAACAATAAAACCTATCGTTAAATGTTGGTGTTAATCCCTGCCACTATCAGCTACAAAACCAACAAGATGATAATATTTTACACATATGAACACATTCACTATACGAATCCCCCTGATCCCCTAAAGACCCGTTCAAAAGTGTATAAAACATCCTACCCACTCCCACCTCTAGACAACACAATCTTTCTTGCCTTTAATCAAGCATTTCCTCTTTCTAAAGTACACCGAATTTATTTCATTTATATTAATTAATTTGTTTAATAGTTTATACTATAAAACATTAAAGTCGCCCATTGATGCTTAAGCATGATGATAGCATATATAAAGCATAGTTCATATAAAATTCCAATAAGTCTCGATTCTTACAAACTATTTCAAAAGTTATAAGTTAGTTGGTCTTACTTTTTTTTTTTTTCCTATAAAAAGGAAAACTATTTTGCTGGAGAGTTTACGATATACTATTGTTTTGTAGAAAATAGATCATGGTTATAAATTTCAAAAGATTAACTTCTACTAATATACTATATTTATGCTAAAAATGTCAAAATAATACCTTTTATATGTACACAAGAACAGGAATATAAGGTTACGACTAATTACGAGGTCATTTGGGTAAGAAAGATCGTAATCAAGACCACTGTACATCAACTTTATATATCAATATATATATATATATATATATATATATATATATATATAGCATTATATAATGGTTAGTACAATTATTTGTCTTACTATATCAACCAGTCCCTCCAATACTCACACCTTAAAAGAAGAACACTCAGTTTCTCTATCTCTTCATATTTTCTCTATACCTGTCTTCTGAAAGCAAGCTTAGACTTGACAATAATGGGCAACAAACGCAGAGAAGCAATGATGATGATTCTAGTGGTAATAATGATGGTGTTGTCACAGAGGTTGTGTGAAGCGGAGGACTTAAGAAGATACACATCATCAAGACCACAAAGATTTTTCAAGGTGAGAAGACCAAATCCACTTCAACATCATCATGATGATCAAGGTTTCATATATGATGATTACCCTCCAGAAAGTTTCTCAGGGTTTTTGCCTAAGACATTACCAATTCCACCTTCTGCTCCTTCCAAGAAACACAACGTCTACGGTTTACAGAGTACTAATTCCCATAGAGATCCATGATCTTTTTATCAACAAGATACTTACACATATCTACACTAATATGCATGATGCATATCTATATATATACTATAACATATATAGAGATCTAGTCATATCTATCTTTTTCTCCTTTTTTTTTTTTTTTCCTTTCTTCTCTTAAAGAAAGTTTTTATTTTATTTTGGGTAGGAACTAATTATTACAATCGCTGATTGATTCCATGGAGAAGCCAACTCAAGGTCGAGCTATTTTTGGACGCACGCCTACTTAGTTTAACCCTACTTGTATCATAGTTTGGAGAATATGTATCCTATATAGTATGAATGAACACCCATGATGATTGAATAATTGTAATGCATCATCATATATATGTTGATGTACCTTCTTTGTTCTCTATCACAAAACACCTACATGTTTTTTTTCTTGAATCGAGAAGCCTTTAATGCAGATTGAATAAGCGGCAGGATATCTCACTCGCGTTATTAAAGTTAATCACCAACAAAAACAGATACTATTAATGTACCAGAATATTTCAAAAAGCAAAAGATTTGTCAGTGTCGATGTTGAACAAAAGAAATTTAATAAATATGTTCAAGGACCATTATATGTTTTTATATAGTTCCAAAATAATCATATACCCTATCTGTTTGAATTTTAATTTGTAACAGTATTATTTAAATATATATATATAAAAATTTAAGAATCCAAATTGAATTTGCGAACTTCGATTAACGAGAATGCCTTCAAACACTACCAACCGAGTGAGCAGTCTAGAGTTTACATATTGAGGGGATAAAATGAAAGAAAGGGGAAAAATGATCCAGTTCGTTTTTTCCCCAAAAGAGATCGATTTTGAACCTCATATCAAAACGTAAGGATAAAACCAAAATACCATTCGTCAAGTTTTATAAAAATTCTAGTTGAATTCTCTATACTTTTATTAATTTGTTTTTCAAATATTGTTAAAGAAACCATTACAAAATATATAATATATATATATATATATATATATATATATATATTGAAAATACTCCATGAAACACATATAATATACACGGTCAATGAGAATTTTCTTTGGAATACGTAGAGACATAATAACATGGGACCTGCACATCCCTAAAACTTTCATAAATGAAGTCACAAATTCATAAAATTGAATGAATTCTCCATAATAAATGATGCATTAATTATGAGCTTGAGGTACTCAATAATAAGTAAGAGCATATAATATTCTTGAACATATGTAATGTAACTAATATACAGTACTTGCAATAACAGTGACTATATGAACACCATCATACACCTTCGAGCTAATGTAAGTTTTTATTTCCTAGTTTTCGGTTCTGATTAATTCAACAAGGACTTTGAAATAACGCATTTATTAGCACCAAGCCAAGCAACCCAAGTACCCAACCATAAAACTAGTGATCTTATTTCAACCAATCAATTAACACACACATATATATATATATATATCTTCGCATCAATTATATACTCTTTATATAAGAGGTTTAAGCTAAAAGCACAAAGATTAAGAAAAGTGTTTTTAAAAATAAATATCATTTAATAATTAACTAAAACTAAAATTCAGCCAATTATAAAAACCGTCTGCAGAATTTAAAGAGTTAAAATATCAAAGCAACATTAAATTATATCTAGAAATTTGTAAAACATCTTATAAAATCAAACAAAACAAAAAATTTCTTAAACCACTTATAATTTGGAACAGAGAGAGTACTTATGATATTTTTGCAAATAATAGGGTTATAAAACTGACTATCTAGTCGATATACACTTTTTTGTTACTGCCTAGCAAGAGTCAACAAGAAGTTGGTAAATAATAATTTGTATTAAAATTTTACATATCAACAAAATTCTAGTGTCTAAAAATGGTAGTAGAACAAAAAGAATATATATATAATGAGAATATTAAATACACTATAATTATGCATTAGAAGTTGATGGATTTAGTTGCTTAATTAGTTGTGTGGTTGACTTATGTTTTGGTAACACCTTGTCTTACAGCATTAGGTACAACTAATTATTGTCTTTAGTCAAAATAAATTAATCACACAAAAATCAAAATAGAACAATAGTACCTTTCAATTTTTCAGTAAGCAAATTCGATACTTGAATTTTCTTTCCTTGCTAAAGTGAACCGAGAACCGATGGTTTTTATATATATACAACACATAGTGTACACGAAAATTAATCTCCCACAAATTAGTCGAGATAGGGAAAGAAAAAAAAAAAAAAGAGGAAGAGGAGTTAAGTTGAACAATGAAGAGTTTCGGGGCAAAACATAGAGAAACAGGAAACTATGGGGAAAAATCATACAAATGTTACTAAGACTACTACTGAGAAATGCCTTCTTCTTCTTCTTCTTCTTCGTCTCTATTCGTTTGAGAAGCCGTTGATTTTTCCGATACTCTTACATTGTATTTCTCATACACTTTCTCCCGATTCTCCGACCACCATGTCTCAGCTTGATGTTCTCCGAACCTTCTTCGGCTGCAAGAGAGAGAGAAAAATAAGCATTCACAATCTTTAGCATCATCACACTAACTAGTAAAAATTTGGAGTGTAATGCACGAGTATGAGCAAATTTTAACCTGAAGCGGACTCTTCGTAAATCTCTAGTTCCATCGTGGAGGGCGACAAGGGTTATATACACGCCTGGCTCGTACTGTTCGATCCACTCTGCTTCTACCTGGTTAGTATCGTTAACACCACCACCTGTTTGGCTTGAACCATTGTCATTGTTGTTTTGGAACTGGAAAGGTTCGTGTCTCTCACTGATTACTGACTCGCTGCTGCTAAGCCTTGGGTCCGCTGGATAAGCGTTGTTGTTTCTTTCGCTGGCTCTAGGCGTTTGCTTTGGTGACTGGAGGTTGGACCAAGATGCATTTGCAAAGGCAAAGTCAAAAGGAGCAACTGAAGATATAGATGAAGTCATTGATTCCGACCTTGAAGTATGGAAGCCATTTTCTTCAGGGAAATGGAAACCGTTCTGGTCTAATCCGTTTTGAAGGCAAGCCAGTTTAACACTCTCACCAGGAGGCAACTTCTCAGCTACGTCCTTAAGCTGTTACAGAAGCAAAATTAGCAGAGTTTCCCAGTTGACTTAACTTCTGGGTGTAAATTCAAGTTTTCAATGTAGCTCATAAATCTGTATCAAACAGTCTTACCTGTGCTATGAGCGACTTGATTGCCTCTTTTGCGGCTCTTGATTTGGCAGATTCCTCCTCTGCCAGTGTTAAGGCTTCCTGAGTCTTTTTAACCGAGTTCTGAAGCTCTACTTCTTGGAGTTCACATTTTTGAGTAAGACTGTCAACCTAGAGCAAATCCATGATTTTAATTAGACTCCAGTTGACAATACCAAATTTGATCAAAAAAGTGACTTGGGTCAGTTTTTACACATTCCAAGAAAACAAAATGAGAACATGGAAGAATGAACTAAGACACTTTAGGCTCTTCTCTGAGAATGTACCTGTGTTCGTAACTTAACGATCTCCTGATTCAGGATTTCATTGGTTTTTTTCATATTATCTGCCATACCCACAGGAAAATAGAGCCCAGACGTCGAAGGCATAGGAGTGGCAGAGCGGGGAGGACTAGATCTCCTAGAGAAAGGTGACACCGAGCGAGAGCTAATACCTGACGGAGCTGGAGCTAATTTTGGAGTAGGTCTTCGCATATCACCTATATTAGACTGCACAGCATCTTTCAACTGCAATAAAGAAGGCAGCTGAGAATTGCGACCAAGTGAAAAAGTGTCGGTTTTCTTTCCTTGTTTGGCCGCTTTGCTATCCAATTGCTTAATTAAATCCATATTGGATGTCCCAAATTTAGCTAATCTTATTTCAGATTTATCTAATCTGTCTTTGTTCTCCCCTGAAAGACGAGGCACAACGCTGTTCCTTCTGTTAGTATCGCTTATCTCAGACACTTTGCTGAGCTTAACATAACAAGAGTCGCAGACGCGATATAGTCTTCCAGCGCTTGGGGCCAATGCGGCTCGGAATGCCTTTTTTGAACTGCATGAATGACAGTGCACAAGTCCACAATTGTAACAGTTATGTCTTTTCCGTGTAAACCCAAAAGCCAGTCTACAGGTTGAACACTGAGACTGCTCAGCACCAGAGACCCATTTGTGCAGACATATGGCTGCAGTGTAATTTGATCCGCAAGCAATATACTTTACGTGTCTATCTTTCAAAGCTTCCACAAGAGTTGGTACTTTTCGATCCTCCAGATCACCATGTCCTAATCTCCCATTGGCTCCTTTACCCCATGTGTAAACTTCATTTCTAGATGTTAAGGCCGCCACATGATATGCCCCGCAGGAGATCTCCTCAACAAATTCACTTGCAAGCTTGTCTTCCACCAAACACGGTAATTTCCCGTCAGTCTGTAAATTCCCAAGTTGACCATAAACTGTACTCCCCATAGTGAACACTTGTCCAGACGTGGTCAAACCAACTGTCAAACTGTGTCCACATGCAATTTTGTGAAAGTTGTAATCAATTAATGCAGGTACACATGTTGGTTTAAGCCGAGGATCCTTGTCACCATGTCCAAGACGGTTTTTGTCTCCATCACCCCATGTGAACAATTTTCCAGATGATACAGAACTTGAGTTCGACTGTGTGACAATGATCTCAACAACAGCAGCAGTATGCCAAACCCCGCATGAAACCGCAATCGTTCTCAGTCCCGATAAAGATTCAACTTCTCTTGGATACTGAACTGTTTCCCTGTCACCGTGCCCTAAGACACCAAATGTTCCATCTCCGAATGTAAAAAGTCTCCCATATGATGTTATCAAAGCAGTATGCCAGGGTCCACAACTTACCGAAGCCACATGAAGCCCCTCAAGAGAACCCGCAATTCTCTTTGGTATCCAGTGACTGATATCAGAGCCATGCCCAAGAAGCCCGACATTATGTGTACCGTCACCCCAGGTATAGAGCTCTCCAGCCAGAGTAACAGCACATGTGTGGAATTCTCCACAAGCAACAAAGTCAACAGATGAAGTAGCTGTGAGAGATTCAACAAGACGAGGATGAAAAACATCTTTCCCAATACCATGACCCAATCTTCCACCAGATTCTTCACCCCAAGTAAAGATTTCACCTTGCCTTGTCACAAATGCAGCATGCCTGACACCACAGGCAATTTGATGAACATCCAAGACAATATTCGACTCTAGTGGCTTCGGCACAAGGACATCTGTTCTTGTGGTCAGATAACTTGCATTCTTATCAATACCGACCTTAACAACATTGTCACATATAACCTCACCCCAAATGTAGACGTCACCTAGAGCATCAGCGTCATCTGCTGCAGATCCATGACTAGAACTACTTTGGGCACTTGAGACACTAACCCGAAAACCATCTGAACCAGATACCTTTGTTTGCATAATTTTGTTGTCCAATGCAACATGTGATTTTTCTGACTCAGTTGAAGGAACCTCAGGCTCAGGCTCAGCACTCTTAGGAGAAACAATAGGATCAAAATTAAAGGGAGTCCCGGGAGAGCTGTGACCCCGTGAAGCGCTCGCAGAACTGCTACTTGGACTGCTTGATGTCAAATCTCTGCTGGCCTGGAATATATAAAAATCAAACAAATGCATTGAATACCTAAATGGAGTTTTCATATCAACCAATGAGTTCAACAGAAGTCCTGAGAATATGATAAAAAAACAGCATACACAGAGTCCTTGCAAGATCACTTACATCAACTGAAAGGCCTCCGCCACTCCAGCCATCAATTTTTGAGCGCCCGCCTTGCCCACCCGATATTAATGTTTTCAGGCCTCCGATCCAAATCTCAGCCTCAACCTTGTCCTTACAAATCTATTAAGAAGTAAACTGTTATACCTCTGGAGTTATAATCAAGTGTATTAAAATGATTTTCCAAATATAAATTTCACAACAACTAACCAAGTCAAGAGACTTCTTTTTCCCGTTGTATAAGAGAGAAAAGGATAAGTAATCTTTCTCTGGGCGAAGATAACGCTGGAAAACAGCCTGTTCCAAAAGATGAAATGGTTATGATATAAGCTTGAAAGGCAAATAGAGTTTTCATAAAAGACTGCAAATAAAATGAAGATATCTTACAGTTCTTTGCCCAGGTACAATTTTAGATACAGAAGCTAACTTCAGTCGTTTTTCACCACTACTCGATATCCAGATCAAAGATTTTTCATCCTGCACAACCAACACCAGCCAGTATAAAAAAAAATCATCAGATGAAACCATTTTCCAACAAGCAAGTAAGAGAAAAACAAGTAGTTGGAGCAGAAAGCAACTCACACTAGACAGTCTAAACGGATAAAATTTTGGCTTTCCTTTGCGACCATATTTCAAAAGTTGAGTCCCCTTCTTCAATGTAATCAATGCCTGCCAAAGGTAGAGTATTAGTATATCAAGAACAGCGAAGAAAACAAAGGAGAAGTAGCAGACACACAAGTAAATTCGTCTACGACTGCCTATACACTTGCATAACCAAGTAATCGGTGTCAAAGGTCCTTTTAAATGTAACATCTGTTAATTCCACTCTTGGATTGATGAACTCCCCTATAGCTTACAATGTCAAAGTCCTGCTCGAGACACAACTTATCTAATTACACGAAAAGGGAAACACATACAAATAAGCCCCCAACTGAACTTAGAATTCGGATTTCAATTCAAGGATAGACTCTAAGAAAGAAGAATTCGGACAGAGACTTTGAGATTTAATGGAATTTTTTGAACAAACAAAAACCTCACAAAAATTTCAATTTGGGGATTCATAACTACTGATAACCACCCATCAATCGACTAAGTACAGTTTTTGCCCAAAGATTTGAGCTTTAAAAAAAAAAAAAAAAAATTAAATTCCAAGTGATTCCGAAAGGTGAGAAAATCGAGGAAGAGAGAAGAACCTGTTCAACGTTGTGGTCGGCATTACTGTAGGTCGCAAGATCTGCCATTCCATGTGAAAAAAACAGAAGAAGACCACCACCCTCTTCGATCCTTACACGAAGGACCGCTCATCATCTACAAACGAGAGCCCACGAGGTCCTAGCCGCCGTGGAAACCATCAATTAAACACGTAACCAGACCAGTTGGTGAAGACAGAGAGAGAAAAGAGAAACGTAAGACTTTCAAAAAGAAAAAAAAAAAAGTTAAAACTTTGGCACTTGCCCAGATCTAACAAGACTTCTCCAAAACTGGAAAAGACCAGAGAACCCAAAATTCAAACGAAATAGGAAAGGTACACGATCTTAAGAAACTCCTCCTCCCCACAAAGCAAAATATGATTTAGCAAGTGCTGCTTTTTAGTTTAGCAGTGAAGAGACAAATCGGCTTTTTCCCGGAGATAAATAGTGTTGGAGGGAGAGAGAAAAATCCGGCGGAGAAAAACGACGGAAAAGCAAAAAGGAAGAAGGAGGAAGACAAGGAAGTCAGAGACAGCGATGACAGAGAGAAGACGAGGAAAAAAAAAGAGAGAAAGAAAGTGACGACGACGGTGTTAGAGAGAGAGAGATGAAGATGACTTGACCACGGTTATTTTATTCATTTAATACTTACTAGTTACTACTCGTACTATTTTTGTATTTTTACCATTTAAGTTTTACCCAGCAATATAATAAAACTTTACTTTTTTTTCTTCTTTTTTTTCTGCTATTAAAACAATTATATTGAGGCATCCCTATGGCTATGAGTCTATTGAGAGGCTAGAAAAAAAAAAAAAAAAAAAGGTGAAGAGGCGTTCCCCATGCAGGAAGCAGTACATTCGAACTTAAAATTTGTTTTGGTGTGTATTTTATTATATCATTTCATTGGGTATGGGAATGTCAAATACATCATATTCTCTGTTTGGAACTTGTAGTTATTATCTTCAATCTGATAAGTATATTCCTACTTCACAAGTATCTCTCTACATTTTATGTTTTTATTCAAATTCTTAGATCTTTTTCGTTTTTTTTCTCTCAACAAGAGCTTTGTGAGGGGGTTTGCTTTTGCTTTTGCTTTTAAGGGAAAAATAAAAAAATTCTTACCACCTCATTCATTAACAAAACGAAGTCTTTTAATTGGTATTTGATAAACCAGTGTTTTCATTCCGGATTAGCTCCTCATGATCGCGAGGGTTATAATTAGGATCAGACCTGGCCGGTTCAGGTTTGCCCCGGTCAAGCAAGGAGATTTGGGGGATATAATGGTAATTTAGGAGGAGGGAAGGTTTATTCTTTTCGAGCAGCTACGTTGAATGGTGGTTGCCGTTTGCTACAAAAGGACAAAAGTACCCCTAAGAGGACACTTTGTGAGTGGGGGCCTGGTCCTGGTCGGTCTGGTCCTTCCCTTCCAGAATTTGGGGAGTTCATCGAGGGAGAATGTATCACTTTTCTTGGTGAAAACAATCATAAAAGTGTATCTTCCACTTTTCTCTTACTTTCTTTTTATTTATTGCTAGTATCATACTATCATTGTTGTTGTTAAGTAAGTATAAAACTGATTCTTATAATTCTTGAAATTCACCAACAAAACAAATTATAATACTTTAGTGGTTCACAAACGAATGTGAATGTGTTTGTTTGATACGTAGCATTAGTACATAATTTTACATAGGATCTAGCTAGCTCGTCTCGACATTATAAAAGCAAATCGAAAACCTTGGATTGGATGATCGCATGCCCAAGTCTCAAGACACAAAGTTCTGTACTTCAATTTTCCATGCATATATCGACGAACGATACTTATATTATACTACTACAATGCTGAGTTTTTTTTTTTAAAATAATAAAACCAATATGTACATTTGATATTACAATTCTTATGGCATATGCCATACATTAATTTACTCAAACGTTGCAAATGCTAGAACGTAAGATTATTAAAAGAATACTATTTCATATTTTGGTTCACATTAAACTTTGCAAATGTACTGATACATAAAATCTCATAAAAAACACTTGAAATATTGTTTTAAAAAAAAGTAATAAGATCATTAGTTATTTATTATGGTAGTGTCTTAAGCGTTTCTAGCTCGAATCAACAACTTCAGGGTAATATTTGAAGTATTTCTTTTAGTAAAAGTTATATAGTAATTAAGATTGTATGATTGGATTTTAGAGAAATAAAATGAATGATGATTACGGCAAAAGAAAAGAGAGTTGGGAACAAATGAAAATTTTGGTTCACAAAACAAAACTAAAAACTTCCAAGGAAACATGGAAACCTACTTACTTTTGTTGTATTGTTGTTGTTGTGTTTGGCCCCATATATATCTCCTCATTTTCTACGCACATTTATATATTACCTCTAATAAAAATACTTCATTCTTTTTTCTTTTCTTTTGTTGTCGTTGATATATTTATATTTTGTTGTCAACTAGTATTAATTTCGTTTCTTCAAACTTCATTCATTGTGATCTCTTGCATAGTTGCATGTCAGCATATAACACAATCATAAATACTCCAAGACGACGACAACAACAACAAAGTATTTTTTTTTCTTTCTTTCTCGTTACTCCTTAAGTAAAGCAGAACTATTATACACATACGACAATCCGTGATTCGCACATTCATTTATTTTAAACTGTTATACTGATCTACCGATAGGTTAATAACTTACAACGTCTTGAATACTAAAACTATACACACGTTTTAATTAATTTCTGGTTACCAATTTCTAGCTATAATATGTTTTATATGTGACCCGTCAGCTTCAAAACAAAATAAAGATGGTTGCAAAAATATATTCTGTTGTTATCATCAAAGCCTATCTTTTAACCGAAAACAAAATTATACGAAACGGACGTGATTTAGTTGTTGATCACTTACTATGCAAAACTAACATGACCATATATATTCATGCATGTAGTGATTAATGGACAGCATTACAGCAAGATATATATTATTGGACATCTTCAAATCAGAAGTTGGATTGAACCGGGTCCTGGTCCTGAATACAACATAACCGAACTCGGGACATATGGGCCTGAGAAGGCGATTAATTGGCCCGTTAAACCGTGAAACAGGTATATCATATCGGGTGAATAAAACGGGCCGGGTCTTAAAGAGTCGGATCCTTAAGAGCAAAAGAATCAGAAATTTCGAAATCAATCGAACACAAGAAATTGAAATCTCAAGGGATTTGAGAAATTTTTGATTCGTGAGAGCTCTGGAGAAGAAGAAGGAGCAAGCTAGGGGTTTCTTCTACCAAATCGAGATAGAATCGATTTGAAATTAGGGTTTTTTTTTGTTCCCTTATTTTCTTCTAGTAGCTTCTGATCCTTCGATTTCCATGGCGGATGGGTACTGGAATCAGCAGCGACAGCAACACCATCCTCCTGGTGGCCCTCCTAAACGTCCCCGTTCCGATTACGGTAAGCTCTTTTCACGTTCCTCTTAATACCCAGTTTTCACAACTCGTTGATGCTGCAATATGAGGTCATGATTAAGCAATTTGAGGAGCAAGGAAACACGTAGATATTTATGCTCGTAGTTTGCTTGATTTAAGATAATGTTTGTTCGTAACAGTCATTGCTTCACAGTTCCCGGTTTTGAACTTTTGTGTAAAATCCTTAGCTTACCAATCCCGAGATTGTGGTAATGGAAGAGTGAGATTCATGTTAAGTTTTGTTTTGTTTGGATGTCTTGTAGAAGCTCCATCATCCACAATGCCTTCAGGGCACGGTGGTTATTATCCGCGGGATGAGGATCTCGATGTTCCCGATACCAGAACCATCGGTTCAGCTTATGATCGCTATCTCCAGAGCGTGGTACCACTCTTGTTGATTCATTTTGGAAATCTTTGATTCGTTCTTCTTCTTTTTTTTTATCTGAAAAGTTTTGTTTTCTCTTGAAGCAAACACCTTCTATGCAATCAGCAGAAACAGGTCCTGTTTCCATGGGAAGACCAGGAGGCAACGGACAAGTCCTGGATGACTTTATGATGAGACGTGGAAATAGTGGAGTTCTTCCTCTAGACCATGGTCCAAATGGCCATACTATGGGTTTCGATCCACCAGAATCTGTTGGTAGGCGTAACCGAGAATTACCTCCCGATGCATCCAACACTTTATATGTTGAAGGACTTCCTTCTAATTGCTCAAGGAGGGAAGTAGCTCGTATCCTATTTGATGACACATGACAAGTTTTTAGTTCCTTTTTTTGTCCTCTAACTAACTTAACGGAAGCTATTTCTTTTTACTGTCCTTAACCAAGGTCTAGATATTTTTCGACCTTTTTTAGGATATAGAGAAGTGAGACTTGTGACCAAAGACTCCAAACATGTAAGATTTCCTTGCCTCAAACTTAGGGTCTTGTTGAAATCGCTTACCCAGGCATTTTATTACTTTGATAAAACCTACTACAGTGTTCACATTTAACCTACTAAAGTGTTCACATTTATGGGCAATGCAGCGGAACGGAGATCCTATTGTTCTTTGTTTTGTTGATTTTACAACCCCTGCCTGTGCAGCGACTGCTCTGAGCACTTTACAAGGTAAATTATAAGCTTCTCGAAATCTCTTGCCACTTTATTTAATGTTTTCCTGTAATTTGAATCACATGTATTTTAAGTTTGGGTAATTTTTTATTGGGTTGTCTTTCGGTTACTACATATTATGATACATTTGAGTTTGGTTTCGAGAGAACTACCCTTCAATATAAGCCATAACACACTATGTGCTATAGCCTTAAACTTAAATTACAATGCCTTTAAACTATGCCCTAATCCTTAAACCATAAACTCGTCCTCTATGAAGCTATGTGCTGAACCTTATTTGTTCTTTAAAACCCTTCCACAGGTTATCGAATGGATGAAAACGAGCCTGATTCCAAGTTCCTACGGCTCCAGTTTTCAAGAAAACCAGGTTCAAGACCAGGACAACGAGGAAGAAGGTGATGGATGACTCAGGGACATTGCGGTTCATCAACCAAATGGTAGCTTACTGTATCTCGTGTAGTGGAAAGATCATCCATCCTCCTTCAAGTAGAAATCTCATTAAAACCGCACATTACATCACCTGTAGTATCGTTGGAGCAGACCTGAGTGAAGAAGACTCAAGAGATAACAAAGATGTGTGGAGACTGTAGAATATGCGGTTAAATAATAGAACCCTTAAAAAAGGCTCTTTTTTTACATATATATATACTTTTCTTTTACATATTAAGTTGTGTTGTTGATTTTGAATGTTCCATTACTATTAGTATTTACTAAAGATTCTTGCTTTTCTATGGAATTTTTATATGAAGAGTGAATTTATATGGCAGCTAATATCTTCAATAAAAACATTATTGGCTCTCTCGACAATGCTGATTTTATCCACAAGTCTTTGTTTTAGTCTTCTTATTTCTCAATTCACATTATTATTGACTTGTCTTCCTCGCTCCTTTTGTCTTCTCTTCTACTTTGGAAAAAAAAAGAAGTTGTTCGATTACAATAGTTTTTGTTTATACATGTATTATTCTGAAGATGTGTTTGTAAGTGCTTTGTAGACGGGGAAGACTTTATTATATTTCAGATAAATTTGAAGACTTAGTGGATTGATTTACTTTAGTTTTTTTTTTGGTCAAAGATTGATTTACTTTATTTAAAATCATTTTTGTGGTCCGAATTATGTAACGTTATCTTATTACATTTATTGTCTGTTTGTGTAAACTACTCGTTTTGGGACCAAAAATAAATATCATATCAGTATTTACTAATAATAACGTATTGTACAATTACAATGTCACTATCATAAGAATATAAGATCTACCACTCAACAAATTATTCTAATTTTAATCATAAAATAAACTGGTATTTATACAATTAATTATATAGTTTCAGCGTCAAAAGTCTACCATCCCACACATATAGCTCCACTTGTGATTCATAAAATCGAATAAGGATAATGATTACATATATAACATCAATAGATAAAATTTGTTAACAAAAACCATTTAGATTACTTATGTTCTTAATTACTTTTTACGAAATCATTTTTACACACAAAAAAACGAAAAAAATATGTTTTTTACTGTTTATGGAAAAGAAATTATTAATCTCTTCTCTTTGCCAAAGAGGCATGCATGCACCACAAAAACGTATATTCGAAAGGCGGATCATGCTTTCTTCGCGTCATTTTTTAATATTACTACGTATCAAACATTTTTTACGGTTTTTAACTTCTGAACCCTAATACATCAGTCGATTGTGTTTTTTCCCCTTTTAAGAACAATAGTTTTAGAGACAAAACTTGCATGTTCTTTTTTGTTTTTCTGTAATAAGCTGATCACTTAACAACACACGTCCGTCCGTATTGTTTTTTTCTTAACATTAACAGATCAAAAGAAACAAAAGAACGAATGGCAAGAAACAAGAAAAGTGAGAAGTTAGTTATAGTCATCTAACAACTTAATGTTTCTACGAAATGCAGCAACGTGCTCACGAGAAGCATATAGGTCCATAGCCTTCACGGTGTTTATCCACATTTACTGCTGAGGTTAATAAACAAATACGCCTAGCTAGTCACGATACAATGATACATCTCTAATATCGTTGACAGTATTTTAAAAATATTGTTTAGCCACTTGTTTGGAACAAATATTTTAACTCGCTAGCATTCAAGATAAAGCATATATTTTAATTCATCTAGTCGTCTCCTCAATCATAGAGTTCTTATTGACTCTTGATACAAAGGCTGGACAGTTTAATATAGAAAAAAAATACCCAACTTAAATTTCTTCGGATTCTGATCAATTATTCATATACTTTAAGTTTGATTCTACAATACTAATTTAATTAAACTTGTTCATTACGAACGTATATTGGCTAAGTTTGTCATGTCGGTTGTCAAAATTCAACCGTAGACGAATGTGTTTTGGTTTCCTTTTCAACTTTTTTTTTTTCAGAAACGATACTACTTTAGAGTTTTGAATAAACTAAAATGTATACGCTACACGTTTGCTTTTATCCACCACATGCATCATTAGCAAGAAGATAGTTAATGACATTGAGTTTGAGGTAGTGTCTTTTAAGATATATATTTTTCATAGTCGGTGATTAACATATTCCTTTACAGTATTCAATAATTCTTCTTGTTTTTGTTGTTTGGCACGACGAAAGACTAACAAGAGGGGATTGGTGAATTGTTTATTTCCATGACCGAAAAGAAATGCATGCATTTTTATGGAGAAACAAATTGTTTTGGAGATTATGTAGAATATTGATTCAGATGGATCGGATATACATCTACCTATTATCTACCAAATCAACATTACTGTAGCCAGAACATTTTAAAGTTTTAGTTGACAAAAACATCAGGCTACTTTAGCAAAGTTTAAAGATGTATAACATCATGTTATTAACATGCATGTTAAAACTTTAGACTTTTAGTTAATTAAAACACCATTCTACTCTTGTAACTTTCTTTGTGTTGCTCTTTTTATGTGTAGTGTTTTCACACTCTCAAATTTGTTTCTATTTATTTTTTTCTGGTTTTTGGTTGTTGATTTAACAATGCAAGAAAATGTTGTTTAGTTTGTATGTTCGTTCAGAAATTGTTTTGGGATCGGATTACCATTATATTCTTTCAGATTGTGTAAGTTTGGATCGGACACAATGGATTTTTTTATCATAAAAGTAATCAAATTAAGTTAATAGATTATTAATTAAATTTCTTTTATCAAAAAGTTAATTTCCATAAACCCAAAACACTTCGTCGGGTCTTGGTTTAATAGTCAGTAGTCAGTACCTACTTAGATTTGTACATTTTAGTGCATTTCACTATCCTCGAGTCTTTTTCTCAACTTATAAATTTAAGACTTTTATGACCGTAAATTACTAACTTAATAATAATTGTTCTTCAATAATATGTGTCTATATCATTTGTGGTTTATTACCTAATTTGGAGACATTTTAATCACCAACCCTTCTGAGTCATACCGAGAGAAACTGTTGCATAACAACAACCAAAAAATTAAAGGTAAAAGTATATGTTTGTAAGTTTAACATCATTTCAAGTCATTTGTTTTTTACACCATTCAATAAGTCTTGTTCTATGGTAAGTACTAATTAAGTACGATGCACGTGAATTACTAGCAACTAGGTAACTCTGATTCTATACATATTTAGAGTAATAGCAACTAACTAGCAACTATGCATTTTGAGAGGTAGGAATCATTATCGAGAGGAGACAAAATCAATAAAAGGATGAATAACAAAAAAAAAACATTGTAAATCAGAAATAAGTATTTCGCAGCCCTGATCTGGCGGCCCCCCAACGAAGAAATGAAGTTCACCAACCCCTTCCAATGCTTTCACACGGAAATATGAATTTGGTATTTCTGATTCAGAGTTGAAGTTTTATTCATTCACATTGCAATGAGAAGATAATATTAATATGTATATCGCGTTACTTTAGGATTTTCCATTCTTCAATTAAAATAAAAAATAAAGAAAAAAATCAGTGCAACATATAATGTACAATCAACAATATGATAGGTGGTAGAACAAAAAAAAACCAATGCAACATATAAATGTACAATTAACAATATATGATAGGTGGTAGAACAAAAAAAAACCAACAACTTAGTGAAGTGCGTATACGTTCAAATGCAATTGTTTTTAGCATAAACGTAAAACGAATATAACATCATCTGTATAAAAATTCACTACAAAAAAAAAAGTAAAACCCATTAATAAATAGAAAATGTTCAGGTGAACATTCCGGTAATGGAGGGAGCCTTTTCACCAGCTTTATCGAGTCTAGCTAGCTAACCCAAATTGTTTTAATGAGAAATCAATGAGCCATGTTCGAGGGAAAATAACAAAATACTTTGTTTTACTTCTTTAACTTTTGCATGGATTATTGCTTTGAAGTCATTGATTAGTTAGGTAGATCATTATGAAAAATCCAAGCACGTACGTAGTTTTTGATATTATAATGAGTGAAGGAGAAAGCAACACAATATATACTTATTGACCCATCTTTTTTAGGTAAAGAGTATAGTTTTTATATATATAGATAGAAAATAATGAGTTTCTAATTATTTACGTTTTGTGAACGAACGAGAGCCGCCGAGTCCGTCTAGTAGTATTCACTGGAATAGAGAAAAACATATCAATGATAACAGTGTGATGATTAAACATTCCAATTTTATTTTCCTTCATTTTGACAATACTTAAACATTCCATATGAAGATACTGTATATGTAAGCGTGCTATCAAATAAAGTGCATCCAATTGTGTGCGATTAATAGGAACACATTTTTATTCTTCATTAATTGAAATATTGAATCACATTTAGGTTAGGCAAAGTAAACTCCATAGGTGTTTACCAGGGAATAGTACTAACAATTTTTCTTTCTTTTTCCTACATTTGAATTATTGAATATATATATATATATATATATATATATATATGATAATATTATTATGTATTTAAATAAATCAGGGACACGTAGCTGATAATTTCTTGATATAAATATTATCTCCAAAAAGAGTTAGAAAATCAACGAGCTTTGTTGACAAAACTTTAAAAACATACATCGGAGGTATATTACATATTATCAATCAAATACCACATTTCCGTTTTGTTATCTTTATTTTTCGTGGTTTGGCTTGGACTTTGAATCACCATTACGATGTTTCCTAATTTTCCCTACAAAAGTAGTAAGTTTTTTTTTAAAAACATATATGAACTTAATTCTTGATTCAAAGGAATTCCAAAACCCAACAATCAAATTCTTGATTTATGTTTGTTATAAACTTATAATCACTACTTAATAAATATAAATGACTCGTATTGTATTTTTCATATGATTTTCGAACAAATATCTTTTTATTCAAAAATTAGTATTTTGTTTAGATAACAAACCCTAATTAGGTTTAGTTGATCTTAAAGTATTCACGACGGTGAATATATTAGTTTCGTTTGAGCTAGGTCGATTTCTTCTTTGTCAAAATTGTCAAGATTAGTTATATAACTTTTGACGCCTAACCAAAATAGTCAAATTTCGAAAATAATACTATATAGAATGTTAAGTTGTTGATTTGTCGAAATCATAATACAGCTGGTTACTTACCCATTTGATAAAAACTAACCCAAAAAAACTACATTTAAATTCTATTATCCAAGATGTCATATTTTCCTATGTTGACCAAGCTTCGGTAATATAGTTTATTAACGTATTTTCGAGAAGAATTCTCGCCTTAAAAAATTGGATTATCCTCCTCCTTATACCATTTTCTAAAACACGGATTCATCATTAATATTATTCCCAATTTGTTAATACTATATGAAAATCAATGTACAATACAATGTCAATACGTTATGGCCTTTCTTGAGCTGTTTTAGTTCATATCATTCAGAAGTAAGCAGCTAAAACAAAACGACCATAAACTATATTTATCTTATCTTGATCTTAAAACTTATTTAGACTTGTTTTTATGTGCGTGACTAATTAAAGATTATAAGAAAGAGATGATGTCGGATTAACAAGAGTAATGACAAAAGAAACATGTTAATAAAATGTATTAATCAAAAACCACTGTCACCTGTACAAAACAAGGAGGAGGATCCACTGTACACGACCAAACCTTCTCTTTCAATGTTTCGTTTTATAGTCAACTAGGCCGCCTATCTTTTGACTTTAACGCGTTTCTTCTTTCTTTTTTTTTTCTTTTTTTCCTTCTATACATTTTCATTTTATTTAGTTACTAAATAAAAATAAGGTTTGACACACAAAAATAAAGTAAGGTTTGACACAAAACTTGTAAGTTTGCTATGCACATGTAACTTTTGTTTGTTTTAAAAGGATTTTGATCATGAACATGTAACTGATAAGATCATCTGTTACATTATTTTGCATTCATCAAATTATCTTATCAGTTACATGTTCATGATCAAAATCCTTTGCTTGATGAATCCACAACATGGCATTAATTTAAACAAGGAAGGAGAGATTAGAACAAAAAGAAGTTTGAACACACAAAATAGCTTCTTCTTTTTTGGAACTCAAAATAGGTTAGTTTATTAAATGGGATGATAAATATCCTTGAGATTATTTTGTGGATTATGCAAAAAAGTAGTATAGTTATAAGTTATTTATCGGCTTCATTTATATAGTCATACATATACCCTCTTACTTTAGTTTTAGGTAGTTAACAATTGTGACATTTACCGTATTCAGAAATGGATTTATAATTCTCTCTTATTCTCCCTCTTTGGGGCCATCTATGTTTTGATCAAATTCTTTTCATTTTGTTTGGGGTTCCATAAACATAAGGATCATGGTTAAATTATGTTAGCTTCACATTCAATGTTCTCTATAGTCTGTATTATATTTAATTTTCTATGTTCGGAACATGCAGAACATGTCGATCAAAGACGACCAAAAATAATAGAAGGGAGACTAAGCTCATTATATTTTTTCTATTATTAATATATTCAGTATCTTTTTGTATTGTTAAGACATGACACCAAACTTTACTGCCATGAGAGATAGTAGTAAAGAAGATAAAATGTGAAATTGAGAAGCTATATAAAGGGTGCTAAGGGAGAGAGTAAGAGCATCAAACACAAACATAAGCACATAACAAAAATGGGGTCACCAATGGCCTCTTTCCTTGTATTAGCATTCTCCCTTGCTTTTGTCTCTCAAACCACCGCTAATTACTTTTATTCTTCCCCTCCTCCACCGGTTAAGCACTACTCTCCTCCCCCAGTTTACAAGTCTCCTCCACCCCCGGTTAAACACTACTCCCCTCCTCCAGTTTACAAGTCTCCTCCACCCCCGGTTAAGCACTACTCCCCTCCTCCAGTT